GATTTCACGTCTTTGCTAGTGTGCCGATTCTAGCTTCTAGAAGTAGCCTTCCTTCTTTGGCTCTTGGCCTTCTTCTGTCTTCAAAACCAGCAAAGGCTGGCTGAGTCTTTCTCACATGGAATCTATCACTCTAACACACTCTCTCTCCCTGACTCTAACTCCTCTGCCTTTATCTTCCGTCTTTAAGGAACCTGTGAATACACTGGACTCATCTGAGTAATCCAAGAATCTCTCCTCCTTTTAAGGTCAGCTAATTAGCAACCTTAATTCCTCCTTTTTATGTAACTGTGAAAGTTGTAAGAATCATAATGGAGTCACATGTGTTAAAAAGAAAAAAAAGGGGGCCAGCGCAGTCGCTCACACCTGTAATCCCAGCACTTTGGGAAGCTGGGGCAGACAGACCACCTGAGGTCAGGAGTTCAAGACCAGACTGACCAACATGGTGAAACCCCGTCTCTACTAAAAATACAAAGTGAGCCAGGCGTGGTGGCACATGCCTGTAATCCCAGCTACTTGAAAGGCTAAGGCAGGCGAATCGCTTAAACCTGGGAGGCAGAGGTTGCAGTGAGCCAAGACCATGCCATAGTACTCCAGCCTGGGCAATAAGGGTGAAACTGTATCAAAAAAAGAAGAAGAAGAAGAAAGAAACCTTGACAAATAGAGCTGGGGAAGGCCATGAGAGAGCTTTTATGCATAAATGCTTGATAACAAAAACTATCACAAAAGACTCTGCCAAAACCACAACCTTGCACAAAGGCCATTGCATCCTTACACAAAAAATACTTTTGCAAGGCCATCTGCCCAGCAATTGCCTGTCCAGACTCCGACTGGCATCACCCTTGTTATTAATACTTGTTGGCAAGGATAATTATCACAAAACAATTACGTAATCCTTCTCATTTTTCCATTAGAAACCTTTGTCTTCCTTTACCTTTTTGAATATGCACATAGTTTACTATGGCATACGTATTTCCGCTGCGATGCCCTATGAGTGAATAAATATTTTCTTTTATTTTTTTTTAATTTATTTTACTTTAGGTGCATACTATATCTGGCATTTCTCCCCATTTTATTCCTCCCCACCCTTACCTCCCTCCCCACCCCCTAAATATTTTCTTTTAGAGAGCCTCTGTTTGTTATTTAAACATGCAATATAATATATCCATAAATTCTGGGAATTAGAAATTAACATATTTGGGGCCATTATTCTGCCTACCATATCCATTTATTACACAGGATAGTGTACTATAATACAGTATAGCAAATATGTTGAGTGGAAACAAACATATTTGAAACAAAATAAATTTTGTTTCCCTAGTATATTTTCATCCAAGTTTTGTTGCATCATTCTCACCTCTATTTCCTATAGGGCACATCATTTCACCCCTTTGGTTTCCAGTGACTCTACCAATCACAGAACTCTACCCATTATGGACACAGAAGGCAGCATGGGCAAAAATAGTAATACATCACTCCAAACCCAGTATTGGTCCAAGCAGATCAACTAGAGTCCTTCTCTGAGAATTGAGATGGACAGGCAGCTTCCTCTTTCTCCTTGGATCATGAGTCATAAGGCTGTGAAACCAGAGATGTTGGAGGTCATATTTCTATATATATACACCACTCTCCAACAACGTATGGAGAAGCTGAAGAGAACGCAGCCAACAGACAAGCAGGCCAGGCCACAACTGAGAAGTGGAGATGGGGCACTTTTGCTATTTCAATCTCACAATTCTGTTGACCCTGTAGCTGGCTCCCCTGCTACATTTCAGAGGCTGCCTCTGTGAGACAGTAATTTCTGTTACTTTGCTTAGGCTACCTTGAGCTCCAACTTCAGTTGACCCTTGAACAACATGGGTTTGAAATGGGCTGGTGAGATTTTTTAAAAACCAATCTCAGATCAAAGCTGGTATACTCCCAAGATGCTAAACCCACAAACAGGGAGGCAGACTTCTCCTATACTCAAGTTCGGCAGGACAGGCAACAGGACTGGAGTAGATGCAGATTTGGGTACGTTGTCATCTGCCTTAACTGGTCCTGGAACCGATCTCCTGAGTATACTTAGGAACAACTGCATATCACTTGACACAAAAAGCCTTAAAATAAATACTTACGCTGAAGGGTTGCCTGCTTCATGAGTATCAATTTCATTTTCTACATTACACCATAATGCTCATGAGATCAGAGTTTATGCCATAGTTCTATGGATTTCTTCCTATGCATGTGATAGTACTAGGCTTATTGTAAGAGCTCCAAAAATATGTTCTGACATGTTATATGTCATTATGTAAAAATAAATAAAACAAAATTATACTCATGCATTTTTAATGTTAGCATTTTTTGACTCTATTCATAACATCTGTATTTTCTAAGTGCAAAATTTGTGTAAGTTCTGATCTCTTGTAAGATAGAGATCTGAAACATAAATTATAACATGTGTTGCTGGAGTAACAATTGGCAGAAATTACCCTAAATGCTAATGACATTATACTCTCCCAAAGAAGACCAATAGGTTTTTGAAGTGCACTCATGTTGAATTAGAACAATAGTAAACAGTTTTTAAAAGAATGCATGAAAAATACAAAGAAATAACAAAAATTACCTCTTAAAATATATCTTTTCACCTTTTTGAAGCATTTTTACAAAGTTAAGGGGCGTGTGTGTGTGTGTACCCCCGCCCCTCACCTCCATGACACCAAGAACTCAAGAAAAAGATTTCCTGGCAAATAGAACGGATGCACTGACCAGCTGGATGCACAGCAGTGTTCTGTCTTTCCATCAGACTTTCACAGAGAAGAAATCATCTGATTCATTCAGGGACCATCCTCCCAAGCTAATTAGTACATTTTATCAGGTCCAATAACATTTGAATCAGGGGCTTTTTTTTCTTTTTGCTTTTTTTTTTTTTTTTTGGTTGGCCTAGTTTCTGAGTACTACATGCCAGGGACATTTTTAGGTGCTTAACATGCATTAACTAATGTAATTCTCCAACAATCCTATAAGGGTATTTGAAGTAAGCATTATTCTAAAAATTTCCCCCTCCAAAGATTTCCATCCTGATTATTCATTGAAACACTAATTTAGGTACTGATCTGAAGGAACTTTTAAAATATAATTAAAATTTATGTAAACAGAGGCCAGGCACGGTGGCTCACGCCTGTAATCCCAGTACTTTGGGGGGCCAAGGCCCGAGGTGGGCAGATTACTTGAAGACAGGAGTTTGAGATAAGCCTGGCCAAAATGAAGAGACCCATCTGTACTAAAAATACAAAAATTAGCTGGGCATGGTGATGCATGCCTGTAATCCCAGCTACTCAGGAGGCTGAGACAGAAGAATTGCTTAAAACAGGGAGGCAGAGGTTACAGTGAACTGAGATCATGCCACTGCACTCCAGCCTGGATGACAGAGTGAGACTCTGTTTCAAAAAAAAAGGTTATTCTTATTTGGTTATACCTGATCTAATAATGATTTCAGCCCTTAGAAACAGAGAACTTTTTCAGGTTATAATCAGAGAGATGTGGCAAAAGAAGGAATAGGAACAGGAGAGATCATACAGAAAAGGAGATCAGAGAGATTTAAAGTGTGAGGAGGACTTGACCTGCCCTTCCTGGCTTTGAAGATGGAGGAAGGGGCCATGAGCCAAGGAATGCAGATGGCCTCTAGGAGCTGGGAATCCCCATCTAAAAGCCAGTAAATAAACTGTACAGAACTGAGCTCTGCCAACAACCTGAATGAGCCTAAAAGCAGAGCTCTCCCTTTCCATCTCCCCCTCCAAACCCCACCACCCCGGAACCTTTACTGAGAAACACAGGCCTGCTACCACTTTACTGGTGCAGTTCTAGATTAGAGGAGACTAAAGAGACGTGATCACCAAATTCCAGGTGGCCCTTCATTAGATTCTGTTTGTGGATACGGTAGGGAATAACTTTAAAGAATATTGTTGAAACAACTGGGGAAATTTTAATTTGACCTATTTATTAGATAATAGTATTTTATCAATGTTAAATTTCCCGAGTGTGTTAGTTGTACTGTGGTTATTTTGAAGAATGCCCTCGCTCTTAGGAGATAACATGCTCAAGCATTTAGGAGTGAAGTATCATCCTTACCACAAGCCGAGGTAAAGCAAATGTGTACAATGCGAACGGTTGGTCAATCTAAAAGAAGGATATACAGATGTTCATTGAATTGTTTTTGCAATTTTTCTGAAAAAAAGTTTTTCAAAATAAACAGTTGGCGGGGAAAAAATCATTGTGGATACTTTGTGTAGGATGGATTTGAGGTCAATAGGAAAGGAATGGGAAGCCCAGATGGGAAGGTATTGCCGCAGCCAGACTGAGGGCTGGGGTAGGACACGGACAGGAGGGATAATGGAAAGAATCCCCCGCCCACAGCTAGGCCAGCGAAGTAACTCCGAGTGACCGAAGCTCACCCTGTAACTGTAGTTCCCACAGGCCTCCCACGCAGGACAAACTCCCACGGGCAGGGGGGTGTGGTCGCCCAGTGGTTTCCGAGTTTGGTTGGGCTCTTCCAGTCTGCAGTTGCTGTGCCCCGCCCCGCTCCAGACTGGAAGAGCCCACATGTCAGTGTTAGGGAGAGGAAGCGGCATCCTAAATTTAATAAGTGCTTCTCTTTTCAAAGTGTCTCCCAAGCCTTTGGCCTTTTCTATACAATCATTTTCTTTTAGCTCAGTGTCTCCTTAAAACTAATGTTTACTTAGGAAATAATTGAGTTACATAAAGATGCTTTTTCTCAGCTTCCCCCACTACGCCCGCCGCGTGCGCCAGGCCGCGAGGGGCAGGACGTGGAAGCGGAAGCGCTGGCTGGGGGGGCGTTCGCTGGAGTCCGCGGCCCTACCCCTGCGTGCTGCCCATGGAGGCGTCCAGCGAGCCGCTGCTGGATGCCAAGTCCAAGGTGAGTCCCAGCCTGGAAGGATAGCGGGCAGCAAGGCTCTGGAACAAGAAAGATGTCTCCCTAAATTGTGTTTCTGCTTCCGTTTCAGGTCACCAACCAGGTGAGTGAGCGGCCGCCCCGCCCTGTCCTCCACCGGCCAGCCTCCCACGGCTGCTAGACCGTGCCACCCTGAGCCTTCCCCGGGTCTCCCCCAGTCCTGTGTCCGCGAGCCTGTGACCTTCAGTCTGCATCCCTGCATTGCTGCTTCTCCTTTGCACCTGAGCCGGTAGCCGTTGCCATTGTAATGTATCCGCTCTAGCCCGAAGTGCAGATCAAGGATTGCTGGGCTTTGATTAGGCGACGTTTATTCGAAGCTAGAAATACGGCATTTTAAAGTGTCATGGGTATAGAAGAAGTTATTAAAATTTTCAGATACAGCACCTCAAACATTTTCTTAGTCTCTAAAAAAGTTATTTTTGAAGATGCAGTATAGCATTTTAGCCTTTTAGAGTATGGATTCATAATGCTAGGAATATGAATTTGACTGTTAAAGTATACTTTAGTCCCATTTCTGTTTCAAGTGTTACTGTGCTGTTTTAGCTAATAAACTATTTTTAGGCACATAACTTATAACACACTTCCCAGAATATGAGCACTAAAACTAGAGTATTTTTAGGCCAGGAGTTACCCAAGTCCATACAAAGTATAAGAAAGGGATGAGGTAAGAAATAATTAGAATACAGGGGCTGAAAGAGGTGTCCATTGAGTGCTCTCTGTCATTTTTCTCTAACTGATCCTGCTTTCGAGGATTCCTGGGAGGGAGGGGAAGTCAAAGATATGTCAACCATTTGCCTGGCTTTGCTTAGTGCATCGACTTAGTGCATTTCGATTCAATCTTTCATAAGCCATTTTATCCATTCTCTTACGTTAAGTTTTGTATGTAAGATATTCTGAAGGCCCGGCGTGGTGGCTCACACCTGTAATCTCAGCACTTTGGGAGGCCAAGACATGCAGATCGCATGAGGTCAGGAGTTTGAGACCAGCCTGGCCAACATGTTGAAACCCCATCTCTACTAAAAATGCAAAAACTAGCTGGGTGTGGTGGTGGGCACCTGTAATCCCAGCTACTCAGGAGGCTGAGGTAGGAGGTTGCAGTGAGCTGAGACCTGGCCACTGCACTCCAGCCTGGGCAACAGAGCGAGACTCCGTCTCTTAAAAAAAAAAAAAAAAAAAAAAAAAGATATTCTGAAGCAGAATCACACTAATTAAAGAGTTCAATTTAAAATTGAACTCTTTTTGGCTTAAACACATATTTATTATCTTATAGTTCTGGAGGTCACAAGTCCTAAACTAGTCTTACAGGGCTAAAATCAAGGTGTCTGCAGGGCTGTGTTCCTTCTGAGGCGGTAGAAGAGAATGATTCCTCTTCGGCTTGTGGTATCTGCTTCCATCTTCAGAGCACATCATTCCAGCCTCTGCTTCTATTGTCACGTTGCCTTCTCTGACTCTGACCTTTTGTCCTCCCTCTTATAAGGACCCTTGCAATTACATTGGGCCCACCTGGATAATCCAGGAAAATCTCCCCATCTCCAAATCCTTAATTTTATCACATCTACCAAGACTGTTTTGTCACCTAAGGTAACATATTCATAGATTTTGGGGATGAGGATGTGGACATATTTGGGGGGCCATTATTCAGCCTACTGCACATCCTTCTCTGCTGTCATCCACAGGTTATATGATTGTTTACATAGGAAAAGCCAAGATCATTTACAAACAGATTATTAGAATTAATATGAGAGTTCAGCAAGGTGATTCTATTGTTTGTTGTTCTTTAGTTCGGACGTAAAGAGTTGGAAAATATAATTTTAAAGATGTCATTTATAACATTAAGAAATTATAGGTGAGGTGTGGTGGCTCACCACTGTAATCTCAGGGCTTTGGGAGGATTGCTTAAGGCCAGGAGTTTGAGACTGGCCTGGGCAACATAGAAAGATTTCATCTCTCTAAAAATTAAAAAAAGCATTCAGGTTTCAAGGCACAGACTTGTAGTCCTAGCTACTCAGGAGGCTGAGACGAGATCTCTTGAGCCCAGGAGTTTGAGACAGCAGTGAGCTGTGATTACACCACTCCAGTCCAGCCTGGGTGACAGAGTGAGACCCTGTCTCTAAAAAAACAAAAAGAAGAAAGAAATTACAGAGCACCTTGCAATAAATCTAACAGAAGATATTTAAAAGTTTTATGAAGAAAATTACAAAAAGCAGTAGACTTCTACATTGTAATCCAGCGCGTAAGGAGCTTGGAAGTTACTACCTTGTCCTAACAACAAGGAAAAACTGAACAAACTGAAAAAAATCAACAACTCCTCTTGGATCTATCAGAGAAGCGAGATCACAGGGCAAATTGCTGTCCCCAAATTGGTGAGACAAAATGTGAATACAGAGAATCACAACTGAGAGCAGAAAGTCGGCAGAAACCAATGCCCAAACTGTAATTGACAAATTGCTGTGGCTCCCAACTCTCCCTCACACCTGACATACAGTCACACCAGCGTATTGTTCTCTCTGGCTCCAAATTCACCTCCTCTTGCTGCCACCTGGGTCCAAGCTGCTATTCTCTTTTCTGGAATGCTGCAGTAGCCTCCTCATAGGGTCTCCCAATTTTCTCTCTTAAACTTTGTACTTCACCTGGCAGTCTGGATGAGCCTTTTGTAATCTAAGTTAGGCCAGGTATCTCTGCTACTCAGAGCTTTTGTTTGTTTGTTTGTTTGTTTCAGATGGAGTCTTGTTCTGTCACTCAGGCTGGAATGCAGTGGTGTGATCTGGGCTCACTGCATCCTCCTCCTACTGGGTTCAAGCGATTCTCCTGGCTCAGCCTCTGTAGTAGCTGGGACTACAGGCACGTGCCACCACGCCCGGCTAATTTTTTTGTATTTTTAGTAGATACCCTACACTGTGTTAGCCAGGATGATCTCAATCTCCTGACCTTGTGATCCACCCGCTTTGGCCTCCCAAAGTGTTGGGTGAACCGCTGTGCCTGGCCATATTCAGAGCTTTTTAAGAGATTCTTGTCACACTGGAGAAGTCTTAGGTATTTACCTTGGCCTACATGGCCCTTCGTAAATGGATTCCTCATCTCTTACCACTCTTCCTAGCTCAAGCTCCTCCAACCACCTGGAGCTCATTGTTCCCTAAACACACCAACCATGCTTCTCCTTCAGTCCAGAATGCTCTTTTCTCCAGATATCCTGTGGCTTTTTCTTCATTTTATTTGGTTCTCTTTCTGTTCAAAAGCCACATAAAAGAGGTCTTCTCAGGCTCTATCTAAATAGACTTTCTGGCCACCTTGTCACCTTATCCTGCATTTTGTCACACTTTTAATAATAATACTTACTACAATTTCATTATATTTTTGTTTATTGTCTGCCTTCCCTACTAGAATTCTGAAGGTCAAGTACTCTGTTTTATTTTTCACATCCCTAAAACCTAGAACATAGTATTGCTTAGTAAATACTTAATAATGAGGCCTCTCTTTCTTACTCAAAACACATCAGAATTGCCAGTTTTATCTTTATAGACAGTTTTTATGGTCATGTTTTTTATTACTAGTAGCTTCAGCCTTCACATCAGTTCTTGATGTGACTACAGCTAATTTGTTTACCTTTTTATATATTTACTTTCTGATTCTTTGTATTCATTTTACTTCTGGATGTTTTTATATTTCGTTTTTTACTACTAGCTTTTTGTTTCTTTGCATGTTTTCCTTTTTTAATACTTCATTATACAATAATTTTGGGGCTACCATGTATGTTGTTTCATTCTTAACATTCTCCATAGTGTTAAGTGCTCTCTGTTCTGATTTTTTCTTTTATGTTCCTTTATTTTTAAAATCTATGCAGTTCACTCCTCCTTAAGGCCAAAATACATTTATCAGAAGGTTTGCTTTCAGTTTGCATTTAAATGTTGAGGTTAGAGTTTTGGAAATTCACATCTCATAAACCTAGTCCTAGCTTTCTTTCAGTTGTGAAGACTAACTTTGCACAGTGTCTTGATGGCAGCTCTCCCTGTTTCCTCACCTGACAGTTTCACTGTTTCAATAGCGAATTTTCCAGCATTGCACACCTTCATTGCTTTTCTGCTTGAAATCTTCCAGTTTTATTTCAGATTCTGAGAATCAAATAGGCAATGCTTTAATCTACCACTTTAATGTGGGTGGTAGAAGTGGAACTTCTTCCATCAAGTTGTACAGGCTAAGTAATGTTAAGAATAAGAAATTGCTTACTTATTTCTTACTCAAACATTTAGGAGAGGGAGGCCCAGGTGGAAGGATTGCTTGAGCCCGGGAAGTCTAGGCTGCAGTGAGTCATGTTCATGCCACTGCACTCCAGCCTGAGCAACAGACTGAGAGCCTGTCTGGAAAAAAAAAGAAGGAAAAGAAATTCCCGGTTCAGTTTTTGGATATCACTGTTGAACTGGAATTAAAACTCTCTCTACTCATGAACTCCCCTGAATTCTGTTTTTGGATTTTTAGCCACTTCCTGAACATTCCTATTGAGATATCCCTAGTATCATCTCTTAATGCTACTTTTAGACTTGATATCTCAACATTCTCCCAGTTATCCAAGCTCGAATTTTTATAGTTTTCTATAAACAACTATAGTTGTATTCTATCAGCAATCAAGACCTAGTCACACATCCTTAATATAAGATCAGTTTAATCCTAGTTGTCACCAGCTTAGTTCAGGCACTTACTTAACTTCAGACTAGGATTATTGTGTTCTGCTGCCACCAGATGAACATCTCTCCATCTCTCTCTCTCTCTCTCTTT